TTAAACCCACTATAGGTGCTTTATTCCATTTTAACAATCACAAAGTTTAGCAATTCTATTTGATTTTTTATCTTCCCTTCTAGTATACACATACCTCTATAGTAGGAATGAGTTCCCCATTATAAGCTTTCAGTTTAACCTGTTTGATCACAATGTTCCCTATTTTTTCTTCCTTCAACCTTTTAATACTAAAAATCTTGAAACATTTACCTGAGCACCAGTGTCCAGTTTATAGGTTGTAAGAGTCCCATTAGTCTCTAAAGAAGTTGTGCATTCATCTGTTCCTTTCCCTTACAGCTCCTAGGTAGAATTCCTCTTCTGTTCTGCTGTCCGCTCTGTCTGGATTACTGCTCACCATGAATGCTTTGCTTCCTCTTCTGCAGTTGTTGATTCTGGTTGCAGACTTTGGTAAATGATTGTATTTCCCACAAATATAGCATTGTTCACCAAAATCTGGGCATTGTTGAGGTCTGTGCTTGTGTTCACATCTTGTGCAATCCTTGAAGCTATCCCGTGCAAACTCTATTGCTTTGCTTTTTTCCTGCTTCTGTTTTTTGTGTAGTGACTTACTGCTTGCCAGCTTTCCCCCCCGCCCCCCATCACTCTATCCAGAGTGGCAGTGTCCTGTTTTTCTTCCATTATTTGTATTGTTCAGAATGATTTCTGCCACCTTGACACAGTATTACTGCTTTATCCAAAGTAAGTCATATCTTCCAATAGTCTTTTTTGCAGCTTTGGATCTCTGATTCCTCTTACAATTTGATCCCTTATAATTAAATCTGTCAACTATCCATACTTGCAGGTTTGGCTCATTAGCTTCAGCTCTGTTAGAGTCCTTTGAAGAATTCCTTTCTTTTGTCTAAGGTAAAACTTACACTTTTACAATGTTTCATTTTTGAGGTATGCAATACTCTTCATTTTTCTGCAAAATTGTGTCATAACTTGCTTTCTCTGCCTGCCTTAGTTGTATGCTGCTAAAGGCATCCATTGCCTCGAGTTCCTCAGTGGTTTAAGAAGACTGCTATATTCTGCTGATCTTCTTTCTCACCAAAGCCAGCTGCTTGCATTCATATGTATCAAAATTTGAATCTCTTCCAGAATCTGCTGCACTGAGAGAGTCAACCCCAGGGGAGCTTTTAGTTACTCCATCTCCAAGATGACCCCTTTATTCCTTCACCACAGTCCATTTCTCTGTCCTCACTCTGGTACCATGAAGCGTTTTGTGGATTCATAAGAAGGAGGCAGAGTCTGGACTCTTAGAAGTAAGGCTTTATTAGAACTAAAACAGAGTTACATAAGACAAAGGAGAGTCATGTGCTCCTAGCTAGATATCTGGCGAAGCTGACTTGACTGCATCCAACTGGTTCTTCCTAGTGTGTACTCTGCTCTTAAAGGCACAGTACATACTCCTAATATGTGCCTCTGGCTAAGTCACTGTGGAAAAAATGTTGATACTAGGACACAGGACTGGAAGTGAGGCCGGGGTGCTGGAACAACTTTTAAAGTGGGGGTGCTGAGAGCCATTGACCCAAACTGTAAACCCTGTATATCATGGAAACCACTTCAAGCCAGGGTGTCCAGCAGCACCCCTAGTTCCTGTACATATGAGTTAGGCAGTCTGGGTTCTATTTCCAATTCTGTCAGTGTCTTTATGAGAGAATGGGCAATTCACTTAACTTCGGTCTCTTTTTCCCTATCTATAAAATGGGTGCAAGGCTCACTCAACTCATGAGTTATGAAGAAGCTAAAATTCACTAATGTTTATAAAATGTTGGGATTCTTGGTTGGAAGGTGACAATATGCCAAGAGCTAGTACATTTAAAAAGCCTGGACTTATCAGATTTAGTGTAACAATCTTGCACTGGCCAGCAGATGATTATCTAATTAGGTCTCTTCTGTGTTTAATGGCTATAATTCTGTACAAATGCTGTAATTACAGAAGACAAGTAGAGACATAGTACTGTATCTCTGAAGTCTGTTCTAGAACCAGCTAACACTGCTATGTGCTCTGTGGCTTATTCCAGCCATGCTCCAGTTCCTTTATGCCACTATTACCTTTTACTGTTTATTATATAGCATACACAGTACTTACTATATGGCAGAACAGACCAGAATATCAGTGCAGGTCTCTAATACCAGAGACCTAAAATTGCTAAGCATTATCTAAATTTCTAAAAGTCAACTAAGCTATTTGTTTTCCAACACTTTCTTCTGATAGGTCCCTCCAGGCAGCCCAATGGTTGGTATGCTACAAAATTTATCCAGGCAACACCATGGTACCTGTCCCCTAGGAAGCTGCTGAAATACTTAGCATGAGACCACATCACTGACCTGTAGAAATAAGTTGATTCTTTGGACTGGAGCTGCATTCCCCATTCCATTTTAGAGACCTGAAACTGTGCTTAATTTTTTCAAATTTGTACCTTGTCATAGTGAGTCTCTGAAATACACATTATTAATACCAAATAAACTGAATAGATCCTTTCTATGCCTTAGAAATAGCAATACTTCAGTTACAGCTGTACATATTTACAATGGAATGGAAATAACTATGAAAGCTTCAGCTGTGTGTGGAACTGGCTCACAGCCCTTCAATAACACATCAATAGAAACTTTATTTTTTCCATTATATAGACCAACTTAACATGCTTTGTTTATAACTTACAAACTAATAAACTTTTACATAAATTTATACAAATTCAGAATGACTTTAAAAAGTATTGTACAAATCCACCTTAAGGCACAAAAAGTTAACAAAAAAATGCAGCACATTGGAAATCTCAAAGCAGCCAATTCAAAGGAAGCTGGCCTTGTAACAAACATTATAACTCATTTAGTTTAAATATGTTTTCAAGTTTCACTACCATACAATAGAAACTAAAAGGCATAGGACAAAAGATATGCAGCTCAATATCTCTCCTTGACCTGTATTACTGAAAATCTGCTATTAACCAGCCTACTGTATATAGTTACACACAGGAATTAAAATAGTTTTAAGGGTCCTGCATCAAATGATTATGTAATGAAATACCATGAACGGAAATTACAAACTGTTAGTTGGTATTCAGATATCTGAACATGGCAAAGTCAGATGTTCCCTCTTAAGTATCTTCTATTTTAGACAGTGTAGATTTACAGTATAAGCATATGTTCAAACATCCCATTCTTACTGCTCAGTTTGTGTTAGTCAAGGAAGTGTAAAAAAATAGTTAAATTTTCCCCAGATACTATGGGTGTGGGTCAGAAATTGTCATTTTAGTTGTGCTTGAGAGTTGACATATCCTGACCAACGCAGCTGCTTTGGTCAAGTGATCCAAGTGTAAGGACAAAAGATACTGAGAGAGAACTTCAACTCCTGAATCCATGCAATAATGTTTGGTGGGGATCAGCACTGAGTTCACCAAATAACATGCCGTAGTCTGACCACTGCTGGTCATTTCCATAGTCTAGAAAGACAAATCTAGAATGTAGGCTAGGACACAAGTAACCTTCCTTTGTTAGAACTTTGTTTTTATTATTAGTTTTTCCATAGCTATCCAAAATCTTGCTTGAAAACTTAACTCTGATGATATAAAAGTAGTGATGGGTATTGTTTGCAGGAGGAGTAATCTTAATGTAACAAATGTACAACTCTAAATGCTTCAAACAAATCAATCACCTGACTGTTACAATATGAATAAGTTATTCAGTTTGGATCAGTTTTGAGTACACAACTACTGTACATTAAATGAAAGGTCTTCACGGAATGAGATGCTGCCCTATCTACATGAATATTCAGTTTATAATTCAGCAGGGACAAAGCAAGCTAAGTATGATGGAATATAGTAGTTTATAGATGCAATTTTCCTGATGTGGCTTCAGCTGAAAGCAATCAGACTAACTGCTGGCTCGGAGCCATTAAGGAAAGACACATACAGCTTCTCGCTCTAGGTCACACTGCTTTTCATGCCGTTTTCTTCTAGATGTTTGTAACATCTCTTCCCTGCTTTATTACAACCACATTAACAGCTAGCTCAGACAAACATTTATAACGAAACCTACTTGTGCTTATTAGTAAACTACCATTTATCTTTTGTGTGAAGATAGAATTTTCAAGATTAGCACTTAGTACTGGGAACTCTGGGTCGGTAGTACCAAAGAATTAAATGGTAAGCACATTCTGGTTTGTGTTCTATGAGAGTAGAAAAAAAATTGGAGTATTGTGGAAGTGAAGAAGAATCTAATTTAGCAGAGTTCCTATTTGTGGTATCATAGCAAGAAAACTTTATAAAGGATTTATTATCAAGGAATTGTGACTAACATGGGGAAACAAATAAATAGTTTAACAGTACATGAGATAATAGTAACTTCAATTACACAAAAATGGAACTTTGGAACTGCATTGATTTTGAAACATCTCAGAAAACTAAGGGCTCAATCTGAGGTCCTGGCATTTGTAAATCACAGAACCTGTCAGAAGTTTGCTGCCCAGTTGGTCCCTAAATTATCCTAAAGAGGGACCATCCTCACTGACAACTGTGTCACATCTATACAGCTGCCCAATCTTACTTTTTGTCCAGTCATAGATATACCACCTTACCCTGGTATCTGAAGGATAGGTGCTTCCCAGACCTCAATTTATTCTATTCAGGTAATGGGGAGTTCCTTCCTCAGCTGATGTAACATCTCTTCCCTGCTTTATTACAACCACATTAAATAGAAAGGGGTCAACTGAGTCTACGGACTTTCTCTCCTCCACAGGCAGCAATTAGAGGAATGAGAAGAAGTCACAACAATGACTCTTCCAGGAGAACCCCAACTCCAAAATTCAGAATTTAAAAAAAAATTGAGTGTAGATTCAGTTGGCCTGACTCTTCTGACACCATTCTTAATCAGAACTTAGCCACTGAAATCACTGGGTTATATCAATGTAAAAAGGAATGTCAGAGGCAAATCTGGCCCTGTGTATTTACATCTAATGGAAAATTAATCAAAAAATGAGTCTTTTAGCATTTCTTTTGTCATTGATGAAACTCCTCATACCATCAGCTTCTCCAGAACATGAACAGCTAGTAAGTATTCCCTACTATCTGAAGACAACGTTTGAATGAATCAAATATCAAGAACAGTATAAACTCCCCACCTTCCCTAACAGAAAGTAAGCCATTATTGCTGTTGCACTCCTGTCAGCCATCTTGGAAATCTTGTTTAAGCATCCTATGAAGTTAAAAGCTTGGCATAGTTTTCTTAGCTGCCTTTTATCAACGTTTTCCTTTTTACCTAGAAAGTTTGTTGCACATCAAGGCGAGATTCACTTGGACATGAACTTTTTTTTTTGTAGGAATGATTCCCTTTAAGTTACAGCTACAAAGTCCCATACAGTTCAGTAAATGAATTCTCCTGGTATTTCTTGCAGCAATGGTTCTTCAAATTTAAATCGTTTGGAAATGGCTTTCTGCTCAGTTATTTTTTCTTTTTCTGACTGCCTACATTGTCCCAGCGTATACGAAGCCACTACAATTAGTTCCTCTGTCACTATTGATTCCTCTCCTTCAGTTTTCTCAGCATCCGTAGAATTTTCAGAGGCAGAATCTCCATCTTTTTGGATGACAGTATTTACCTCATCTGCTGTACTCTTAATGCTACACACAGGGTCTGGAATATCACTTTGTGCTAGCCATGGGTGTTGCAGACATTCTTCAGCTGTTGCCCGTTCCCTATGGAGAAAAGAAGGCTCATTCAAATGAATGTCAGAAGTGTCAAATGAGGAACACTAAACTCAGGAACTTGGATAAGAACTAGAAAGATTAAGAGCTTCTTCTAGGGATATGACTTTGCATTAAATAGGACCGATCAATTATGGAACTGACTAACAAAACAAAACATCAATTGTAAAGAAAAAAAATCAGGAGCAACAGCCACCCAGTAAAATAGCTGAGGGTTTTAAATCCTCTAATCTCTGTTTTATATACCTTGCTAACTATCAAATCCTATGAAATCTAAAGTTTAGAGCAGCAGTCTAATTATACACATAATGATTTATACCAAGCTGTGAAATACTTGCATCCTTGATATTGCTCACTATTGTTTTTCCTATGGAACTATGCAGACAGTTGCTGAGCCAAAGGGAGGAATAAATAAAATACTACAGATACTTTTCAGAACAGAAGCAGCATTGTGGGGCTTCATATTTGCCTCCCAATGGCAACCAGGTCAAATCTGCTCAGTTCACAAGTAAAAATATATTTTAATAACAGTCAGCCCAACAAAAGACAGTAAAACACGTCACTAATCCACAGACTGGGAAGTTAACTGCAAACTCACTAACTTTGCAAAAGTAGTCAGTGAACAAATGCAAAAGAGCAAGGATACTACACCACACATTTTACTTTATTCATTTAGTTTTTGACAAGTAAAGTTCAGTTTTAATTATTTAAATTACCGCTACTACAATTTATGTAGTGTATTTTGTAAAAAAATAATAATGAAGTCTTAGCAATACAAGACTCATTACAGCATTCATTTATGAGAAATGGGAAATGTGTCTTTTTGTAGACACAAAACATGGTTATACATAATGAAGTGCAAATTAACAATGTTCTACTGCAGGTCTTCATCTACACTATCTCTAATCTATGAATGACTCTGACAATGCTTTAGTTGGTAGCAGTATTTAGAACTCATTTAGTCTCTGGAACAGACTGCTTTTTACTGAACTTACTCAGGTTTCTTAACCAAAAGGGTTTTGATGAAATCCACAGCAGACTCTGATATAAGGTCAAAATCTTCCTCGGAATAATTTATGTTCATTTGTGCTATATTTAAGAATGTTTCTTGTTTATCATCTCCCAAGAAAGGCGATATCCCTGTTAGCATGACATATGCTAGTACTCCAATGCTCCTAAATTAAAAAAAAAAAAGTCAAGTAAAAAGACTTTTTAAGTTCAATTTTGTAAAAGTTGTAAATATTAAAGGCTACACTTACCACATGTCTGTTGCTGTACTGATTGGGTCATAACTCAGAATTTCAGGCGCTATTATGAAAAAAAGCGTAAGGTAGATTCTATTATTTGTTCAAAATAGAACTAATCTATATTTACTCATTTATATGCAAAGTCATACTTTACAAGCCAGTATTACAATTCAAAACTAGGCAATTTCGAAGCCTTAACAATGCAACCCATCTTGCATAATCTGGAATATGACGAGAACATTTGAAAGAAAATCTGGACCAAATTAAATTTAAAAATCTATAACAGATTACGATTATTTGATTTTTACTTTTTTTTTTATTCTGCTTACCTAAGACTGGCTAATCTTTCCTACTGGCAACTAAAATGATTCAGAATGTGAGTGGTCATTGGTAGCTCCACTCCTGTGGAAAGGGAAGACTTTTACAAAGCTACCTCCTATCATGTCAGTGTGGCAAGCACTCTCAACTCCGTGGTAGAGTGAACAGCTCTAAAAATCCACATTGTGGTTCTACCACCCAGGCCCAGGATCAGTTAACAGAGCATTAATGAGTATGCTTCCAATAGCAGTGCGGATCTCACTACTGAACATGGTAGAAAAGCCATTTTCCCAGAAGGATATTCGTTCTACAGCCAGATGTCAATTGTCCCCCCACTTCCACAGCACTGCAGGAAACTCAGGGACCAGCTCATATTATAGATTGCAAACAAAGCAGACAAATGTTTCTTTCACTCACAGAACATAAGTTATTTCCAAATAATTCTGACAGTGTAAGTTCAAGTTATATTTTTAAATGCTAAGGGCAAGGGTGTTAGTGGCTCCAGTGATTTCATTTTAAAGCTATAATTTAATGTATTAAGATTTTTCTTATGGTCCTGTATTTGTACTGGACTTTTCTTAATGTCTAATGATTCCATACAGAAACATTTTATCTTCTAGCATTTGGAGCTGTATAGACGGTAAAGGCATCCATCTTTTGTATTGTTACAGAGAAATGTATATGATTATGATTGTCTAAAGTTGAAGGTTTTCCCTTTCTTTTGTAAATATTACATCCAGACAATATCCAAATCCAGAGAGGCAGCTCAGAGTTATGAACAGTTCGGGAATGGAGGTTGTTCGTAACTGAACAAAACATTATGGTGGTTCTTTCAAAAGTTTACAACTGAACATTGACTTAATAGAGCTTTGAACCTTTACTATGCAGAAGAAAAATGCTGCTTTTAACCATCTTAATTTAATGCAACAAGCACAGAAACAGTTTCCTTACCATGTCAAATTGTTTTGTTTTTTTTAAACATTTGTAGTAGTTTACATTTAAACACAGTTACTGTACTGTATTTGCTTTTTTTCTGTCTCTGCTGCTGCCTGATTGCGTACTTCCAGTTCCAAATGAGGTGTGTGGTTGACTAGTAAGTTTGTAACTCTGGTGTTTGCAACTCTGAGATTCTACTGTACTTACCCACATATTCAGGAGTTCCCATAATTTCTCTTAGCTCTTCACTGCTTTTCAGTATTCTGGAAAGGCCAAAATCAACTATCTTAATGTCTCCCAAAGGAGATTCACTAGTTAGCAGAATATTCTGGGGCTGAAAAACAAAAGAATCAAACAAATGACCAGGCTTTTTAAGCACTCAAACCTACACTTGACTATAGTATTGTAGGAGTGCAGTGTTGTTTTGAGCACAAAAATAAAGAGGATGCATTTTCCAATACATTTAAAAAAAAAATTTTTTTTTTTTTTTTTTTAAAGACTCCATTAGTTAAGGACTTACACTGGAAAAAAAAAGACCAACAGTAGGATGCATCTGTATGGCTGAGAAATCAAACGTCTGCCATTCTCAGACTATTTATGAAAATACACCAGTACCTATAGTACCTAACACCATCTATATGTGGAAACTCCATCAATAGTTTTGCCATCACATACTTGCTTTTGTTACTGTGGAGCTCTAATTTATTAGAAGACATGTTGACATTTTAAGCCATTTTTTATTTCAATGTCTTCAACTCTAAAGATATAAAAAAAGCATGTTAGTTATTTTGGACAGTCTGTTTTGAAATACAGCAATTTTATCTATTGTGTCTGACCTCCATTCTGCTTTTGATATTAGAACTAAAAGCCTTTTATTTTAGAACATTTAAATTTGTTACCATCTACAAGAATATAAAGTGTTAAACAAAACACCTATTTTTCAGGCACTTGGACTGTTTACTTTAAGAATCAACATGTAAGTCAAATGCTAACCTTGGATAAACTTGTGTTTTCTCCTGAAGTACTGAATTCCTTGTGTGTCATCCTTGAAAATTATGTTTGTAATCATTAAAAAAGCTCCATGGTAAAATATTATGAGTACTACCAGAGTCAGTCTTAGGGGACCATGAAGACCAAAATTATGGATCTTCAGGATTTTGATGACCTAAGTATGTCAGGAATACTCGTTTTCATAAGTTTTTCTCTTTTCTTTGCAAAGATTAATTTATGTTTGTCACTGATATTTCCAAAAGATCACATACTATTCACAGTCCCCATCTGGTTGATCTTTGGGTCCTACGAAATCCACACAGTTACAGGTTCCTATATTTCTGGAAGACCTCCCACATCAATCTGTGAATTGGGAAGGTTGTAGGGACAAAGAGAGAAGCAAGCATCAGCCAACCAACTCCTGGTGGTTCTAGAATCTGCACAAAAACCTTCTCCAAAATCGCCAGGCCAATTCTGTACAGTGGTATGGTCGTGGTGGAAAAATGTTAGGAGGATGAGGTAGACGAGGCTTTCTTCGGACAACTAACGGAAGTTTCCAGATCACAGGCCCTGGTTCTCATGGGGGACTTCAATCAACCTTACACCTGCTGGGAGAGCAACACAGCAGTGCACAGAGAATCCAGGAAGTTTTTGGAGAGTGTTGGAGACAACTTCCTGGTGTAAGTGCTGGAGGAACAAACTAGGGGCCATGCTCCTCTTGACCTACTGCTCACAAACAGGGAAGAATAGGTAGGGGAAGTAGAAGTGGGTGGCAACCTGGGCAGCAGTGACCATGAGATGGTTCGAGTTCAGGATCCTGACAAAAGGAAGAAAGGAGTGCAGCAGAATACAGACCCTGGACTTCAGAAAAGCAGACTTTGACTCCCTCAGGGAATGGATGGGCAGGATCCCCTGGGAGGCTAATATGAGGAGAAAAGGAGTCCAGGAGAGCTGGCTGTATTTTAAAGAAGCCTTATTGAGCGCACAGGAACAAACCATCCAGATGTGCAGAAAGAATAGCAAATATGGCAGGATACCAGCTTAGCTTAACAGAGAAATCTTTGGTGAGCTTAAAGGCAAAAAGGAAGCTTACAAGAAGTGGAAACTTGGACAGATGACTAGGGAGGAGTATAAAAATATTGCTTGAGCATGCAGGGGTGTAATCAGGAAGGCCAAAGCACAATTGGAGTTGCAGCTAGCGAGGGATGTGAGGGGTAACAAGAAGGGTTTCTACAGGTAAGTTAGCAACAAGAAGGTGGTCAGGGAAAGTGTGGGACCCTTACTGAATGGGGGAGGCAACCTAGTGACAGATGATGTGGAAAAAGCTGAAGTACTCAATGCTTTTTTTGTCTCGGTCTTCAGACGAGGTCAGCTCCCAGACTGCTGCACTGGGCAACACAGTATGCGGAGGAGGTGACCAGCCCTCTGTGGAGAAAGAAGTGGTTCAGGGCTATTTAGAAAAGCTGGACATATAAAAGTCCATGGGGCCGGATCTAATGCATCCGAGGGTGCTGAGGGAGTTTGCTGATGTGATTGCAGAGCCATTGGCCATTATCTTTGAAAACTCGTGGCGATCAGGGGAGGTCCCGGACGATTGGAAAAAGGCAAATATAGTGCCCATCTTTAAAAAAGGGAAGAAGGAGAATCCGGGGAACTATAGACCAGTAAGCCTCACCTCAGTCCCTGGAAAAATCATGGAGCAGGTCCTCAAGGAATCCATTCTGAAGCACTTGGAGGAAAGGAAGGTGATCAGGAATAGTCAACATGGATTCTCCAAAGGCAAGTCGTGCCTGACCAACCTGATTGCTTTCTATGATGAGATAACTGGCTCTGTGGATATGGGGGAAGTGATGGACATGATATATCTTGACTTAAGCAAAGCTTTTGATACGGTCTCCCACAGTATTCTTGCCAGCAAGTTAAAGTATGGATTGGATGAATGGATTTTAAGGCGGATAGAAAGCTGTCTAGATCATTGGGCTCAATGGGTAGTGATCAATGGCTCAATGTCTAGTTGGCAGCTGGTATCAAGCGGAGTGCACCAGGGTCTGTCCTGGGGCTGGTTTTGTTCAACATTTTCATTAATGATCAGGATGATGGGATGGATTGCACCCTCAACAAGTTTGGGGATGACACTAAGCTGGAGAGAGAGGTAGATACGCTGGAGGGTAGGGATAGGGTCCAGAGTGACCTAGACAAATTGGAGGATTGGGCCAAAAGAAATCTGATGAGGTTCAACAAGGACAAGTGCAGAGTCCTCCACTTAGGACGGAAGAGTCCCCTACTCCAGGCTGGGGACTGACTGGCTAAGCGGCAACTCTGCAGAAAAGAACCTAGGGATTACAGTGGATGAGAAGCTGGATATGAGTCAGCAATGTGCCCTTGTTGCCAAGAAGGCTAACGGCCTATTGGGCTGCATTAGTAGGTGCACTGCCCGCAGATCGATGGAAGTGATTATTCCCCTCTATTCGGAACTGGTGAGGCCACATCTAGAGTATTGCATCCAGTTTTGGGGCCCCCACTATAGAAAGGATGTGGACAAACTGGGGAGAGTCCAGCGGAGGGCAACGAAAATGATTAGGGGGCTGGGGCACATGACTTATGAGGAGAGGCTGAGGGAACTGGGCTTATTTAGTCTGCAGAAGAGAAGAGTGAGGGGAGATTTGATAGCAGCCTTCAACTACCTGAAGTGGGGTTCCAAAGAGGATGTAGTTAGGCTGTTCTCAGTGGTGGCAGATGACAGAGCAAGGAGCAATGGTCTCAAGTTGCAGTGGGGGAGGTCTAGGTTGGATATTAGGAAACACTATTTCACTAAGAGGGTGGTGAAGCACTGGAATGGGTTTCCTAGGGAGGTGGTGGAATCTCCTTCCTTAGAGGTTTTTAAGGCTGGCTTGAGAAAGCCCTGGCTGGGATGATTTAGTTGGGGTTGGTCCTGCTTTGAGCAGGGGGTTGGACTAGATGACCTCCTGAGTCTCTTCCAACCCTCACCTTCTATGATTCTATGTTATTGGGTAGGAAAGTAAAGTATTATTCAAGCACATTTAAAAATACTCAGGCCAGTTATGCCTGCTACATTTTTAGGACACTTTAGGAAGTTTTAAATACTGTACTAGCCTTAATAAATTCCTCCATTCTCGCAAAAGTGAGTTGTCACAAAGAAGGAAATACATAGAGCATGCTAACTGCATATATCAATAGTAAATTCTCTCACCAAGTGGCACTAGGTTGTCACACTGAAGCTTATGGCACTGTACAGGAGCCTGTTTTATAATTCTGGGTTGTTCTGTACTAATTTGTACTAAAAAAAAACAAATATACTGATCTCCATGCCATGGCAATCAGAGGTGTGGCTGCAACATGTGTAGATGTACACAAGTTAGCTTTGACATAGCAAGGTCAAATGACAACAGGGAAGCTGCAGCAGCACAGTAGCATGGGCTAGCCACTCAGGTATATACCCAGGGTCCCATACGGGCTTGCACTGACTGTCCTGGTTTCATTGCCACTGTTATTCAAGCCAGCTAGAAAAAAAGCTAGCTCAGCAGTGTAGCCCAGTGGTTCTCAACCAGGGGTATGCAGAGATCTTCCAGGAGGTACATCAACTCATCTAGATATTTGCCTAGTTTTACAACAGGCTACATAAAAAGCGCTAGCAAAGTCAGTACAAACTAAAATTTCATATAGACAATGAGTTGTTTATACTGCTCTATATACTATACGCTGAAATTTAAGTACTATATTTATATTCCAATTGATTCATTTTATAATTATATGGTAAAAAGAGAAAGTAAGCAATTTTTCATTAATAGTGTGCTGTGACACTTTTGTATTTCTATGTCTGATTTTGTAAGCAAGTAGTTTTCAAGTGAAGTGAAACTCAGGGATATGAAAGACGAATCAGACTCCTAAAAGGGGTAGTCTGGAGAGGTTGAAAGCCACTGCGATAGCCACACCTCTGATTGCAGTGTAGACATATCCTTAGACATACCTCCTAGTGGGCAACTGAGTTGATATATGAAAGGGAAAACAGAGAAAGCAACATTTAAGTGAGAGAAGTTTTTACTGGCAATGTTTCATGAGAACTGTAAGCCTTATAAGAAAAGTCATCAGGATTTTAGTAAGTGAGGTATAGTTGCCAAAATAAGTTAACTTTTCAATGACATCCATTGCTTTTTACAAACAGGATACAGTTATATTGCTCAAGATAGTGTGACAGACCCAGACCAGTGGGGTACAGGAGTCTGGTAGAGGGCAAATATACTGGTTGCTGGATGAGTAGTTTTCTGTTCCCTGAGTGACCAGAGCAGGGGCTGCACTAGCGTATTCAGGAACCTGCTAGAACCA